TGCGTAGGGCCTCGCCCAGACCCCCCCGGCCCTGCAGCCCAGTGCCCGCTCATCAGTGGAAGCGGGGGGCAGGCGTGCCATGGGCTGCCCCGGCCGCAGCCCCCCGGTCACCCACACAGGACCCACCCTGCCTCCACAGCCAGCAACACCGGCCCCAGCAGCGCCGACCCCCGGCCACACAGCCACCGCGGGACCACTTAGCCAGCGAGGCCGCTGCCCCGCCCCCCTGCACACCGCCGGCCCCCGGCCCCGCCCTGTCTGCCGCGGCTTCCCACACGGCGGCCCACCCAGCCCACAGGGGCCGGTCTGTGTCAGGTGGGGGAGCCCGTGGCCCCCTCGGCCGACAGCCATGCGGGGCTGGGGGGCAGGGCCGGGGGCCGGCGGCTGGAGGCTGGGGGCGGGGTGGGCAGGTGTCAGTCTCAGAAGTAAACACTGCGGGTAATGAATGGCACGGGGAGGGGGGGCCGGTATTTAACAGCAGCTATGGATTGTGCGGCTCCACTGTAACCGGCGCATTATGAAGGCTAATGGATTTTTGAAGCCAGATTGATTTTTCATTAATTTGGTAAAAATCTTTTTCCTCTCCCCTATAATTCTGTCTTAAAATGCTCCCCCTGACAGCTCGATAAGTCACTCCTGCCGTAATGCACGTCTGGCGGCCCCACCGGGGCGGGGCGGGGGGGCGGGCGGCCCTCCCCAGGCAAACAGCGCGCTGGGCAGGTGCCCTCCCCCAGGGTGGACCCGCCCCTGGGGCCCCGGAGAACACGGCCCAGCCTCCAGGACAGAGACAGCTGGAGGCCGGGGAGAAACTGAGGCAGGGAGGCCCTTCTCCCAGCCGGTGGCCTGCCGAGGCCCCCCTCCTGCCCCAGAGGGGCTGGCCTCCGGAGCCCGGGTTCTGGTCTGGCCTCTGCTCCCCGGCTCGGGCCTCTGGGGCAGGAGGGCCCATGGCAGCCTGGCCCGGGGCCGCATGCCCACCTCTGTCCTCCAGAGAGATGCCAGGCCCCCAACGCGTCAGCAGGGCCGGCCCGGGGGCCTGGAGGGGGGACACAGAGCTGACCGGCAGCCTCACCGCCTCTGCTCTCGGGGGCCTTGCCGCCCTCCCGCCCTGCCAGCCTGCCCCGAGCCTTCCTCCTCGAGGGCCTCCCCCCAGCTAGTCCTTGGGGTCCCAGGCTGTGCCCCTCCAGCCACAGACAGGCCAGCAGCTCCTAGACGGTGCCAGGGAGGCTCTGGGGGCGGTGGGGGCAGCGGGGGAAGGCGGGCCTGGGCTGGGCAGTGGGGGAGGGGATGGGGGATGGGTCAGGGGCCCAGGGTTAGGGGGCATGGGGTGGGCAGGGTGGGAGCACACTGAGAGGGGGCAGGGGTCAGAGGAAGGCTGGGACGGGGCCCTGGCCCTGCTCTTCCTGCCGATCCCTGCGCCCCGCCCCCCGCCCCGCCCCTCCAGCTGGACAGCCCGCAGTGCAGGAGTTCAGGCCACGGTGACTCGGGACGCCCCGCCATGAGCCTCGGAATCTAGGGGGAGCAGCCTTCCCGGCGTGGGGGTGCCCCTCCCCCGGCAGCCGGGTCTGAGCCCCCTCGCTAACCCAACCCCGGAGGTCCTGTGCCACTAGGTCCGTGGCACGGAAGGACACACGGCCGGTGTGCGGGCAGCGAGTCGGCTCCCCGGCTGCCGCCGTGGGCTCAGAGGCTCAGAACACAGCAGGACCCTCCGCCAGCCCCGGAGGTGCCCTCTGAGGGCGCGGTGGCCCCAGGGCAGGGCCCGGCCTGCTCCGTCTGGCTCGCGGGCTCCAGGCAGCCCCCGCCCCGATCTCCTGTCCTGTCCTGTCTCTTATAGTGACACCTGTGAATGGAGTCAGGGTCCTGGGGTAATCCAGGATGACCTCACCTCAGACCCTTAATTCCATGCATAAGAACCTTTCTCCGAACAGGGGCATCCCTGTGGCCGTGGCTCTGGGGCGCCCACTGCGGTTGGGCAGCAGGTCCAGCAGGGCCCCCGCCTGGGGCTCCGGGGCTCAGGCCCCTGCAGGGCGCCCGGCTCTCCAGCCTGCTCCTCTCCGCGTCCTGGCCGCACGGCCTCCCAGGGCCCTGGAAGAGCTGCTGCTTCTCCCGCTCACCACCTGCCACGCACCCTCCTCTGGCCCCCCCGCAGGTGGCTCTGCAGTTTGGGGGCACCTCGCCCCCTCTCAAACTTGCCGTGAGTCCCCTGGGCCATGTCCTTTAGGTTCGGCCCAGGGCTGACATCTAGGGGCGTGGAGGGTTGACTGAGGCTGCTGAGGTGGCCGGGCCTGGGCTGGGCAGTGGGGGAGGGGATGGGGGATGGGACGGGGCCCAGGGTTAGGGGACAGGGGGTGGGCAGGGTGGGAGCACATTGAGAGGGGGCGGGGTCAGAGGAAGGCTGGGAAGGGGCTCTGGCCCTGCTCTTCCTGCCGATCCCCTTGCCTCGCCCCGCCCGCCCGCCCGCCGCCTCCCCGGCGGCTCGGACTCCCTTCCGCCGTGCGCCTCTGCGCACATTAATCTCTGCGCCCGGCTCACTGCTGACCCAAGCGAAACGGAGCTGCCTTTTCCCCTCCGCAGTTTTCTGTTGGCGAAGCAAAAAGGATCACAGCGCGCTCTCACCCCCGACCTCCCGCCCAGGGCGGGCTGCTCTGGGAAGTGAGGCCTCCCCGCGCCGCGGGCCGCCGCACCTCCCGGGTGCGCTCAGGGGCGCGGTCGGGCGGGCGCCCTGGGGCCTTCGGCCCGCGGCCCGCGGTCCCAGCCCGGCCGGCCCTCCACGCGCAGCCCCGCTCCCTCCCTCCCGCGCTGTCCAGGGCCGCTCGCGCTGGGCGCCGGGGAGCCAGCCAGGGTCTTGCGGCCACCTCTGCGGGCGGCGCACGCGTGGGACGCTCTGCCAGGTCCCCAGTTCTGTTTATGGAGCCTGTGGATGAGCTGATGCAGCCTCTGCCCATGGCCCACGGTCTGTCGTACCCGTGACCAGCGGTGATGGGGCTGGGCCAGAAAACGGGGCTAAGCCTGGACGTGAGGCGTGGCCGCGTCCAGGGAAGGGTTGAGAGGTGCCCTCTGGAAAGCAAGGGGGCAGAGAGCACAGGCGAGGGCTGGGGTCGGGCCGAAGCTTCCGGGCAGGGACAGGCACACACCCAGCTTTGCACACGCACACCCACATGTGTGCACACCCAGGAGCCCATCCCAGCCAGAGCAGCCACTGCCACTTGGGAAAGACCTGTCCCAGCGGGACCTCATGGGCACAGCCCCCTCGCCCAGGCTGGACAGGTCCCACCCCGAGCACACACAGGGCAGGCGCTGGCCGGACCTGAGCCCCACCAGCTGAGGGAGCTTGGCCGCAGGGGTCACCGGCTGTGGCAACGCAAGGCCGCTGCCCTGTCCAACTCCTGGTCCCCAGGGGGCACAGCATGGCTCCCAGGGCGGGGCGCAGGCCACGACTGACCGCTGGGGTGAAGCTGCAGCGTCTGCCAGGCCCAGGGCCCTCGACCTCACTCCCAGCCCTCCTGGAGCAGAGCCTGCCCGACGCCGGTTCGGCCAGGAGAGGCCAGGTGCGCGGGCAGGGCAGGGGCCGGCAGGGGTGCCCCGCGGGCTGCCGGCAGCGGGGAGGCCTCTGGTCTTTGGGAAGGCCCCCTCCACACCAGCCCCGGGCGAGCGAGAGGCTGGAGGCAGCTGCCGACCCTCGGGCTCTGCCCAGGCCCGAGCGCTCGGGTCCAGAGGGGCCGCGGCGGCCGGGGAGTCACTGCGCTCTCCTGGACCGGAGCTGCCAGCCCTGTCATCCCCGATTAGCAGGTAATGGCCTGCTGGACGCGCAGTTGTATTAATCAAATTAATACGTGCTGAGGTGACCTTGGGTGGTTTTGCTGAGAGGGGCATGTTCTCCCAGGAGAGGCAGGTGGGCCACGGGAAACACGCCCGTGCCCCCCGCTGCCCCCGCGCACCCACGCCCGCCGCGCCCCGCCCTCCACCCTGCAGCAGCTCAAACGCAGGGGCGCGGGTGGGGGGAGGGGCCAGGTCCCGCAGGCTGTTCCTGTCTGGGGAGGCCAGGGAGGAGGGGGACGCACCAGGTGGAAGGGGGCTGGGTCTCCTCCTGGGGGAGGCCGGTGGGAGCCCTTGCTCTCCTGGGCCTGCAGCCGGCCCTAAGCCCGCCCCTGCCCAAGATCCCGCCTCCTGCGGCCGATTGTGTGGTCAGTGGCTGCCCCCTGGTGGCCACGGTGACCCCTGGCCAGCTCGGGCCCCAGCCCCAATCTGCAGGCCTGCGGGCCTCTCCCAGCCAGCCACCCCGGCCCCTCCCGCGCAGCCCCCTCGCCCTCCCTCTGGGCCCAGGCTCTGAGGGACCGGCGCAGTTTGCCCGCTGACAGCCTTCGAGGCAGCCCCCCCGCCCCCGCCTCGTGTGTGCAGCTCAGGGACCCTGAGGGCCCGGTCCGGGGAACTCGGGGGTGTCACAGGAGTGGGGCGAGCACGGAGCCCAAAGGGGTTAGCCCAGGGGGGGTTGGGGGTGCCCCCTGGTGACAGCCCTGGGCCCAGGAGGGCAAGTTCAGGGTGGACAAGTGGCCGGGGCTGCTGTGTGAAGGGCGAGCAGGGCAAGAAGGTGGCCTGGAGGCCGGGGGGCGAGGGGGCGGCAGGGGGCCGAGCCTTGTCCAGGCTGTGGGTGCCCGGTGGGCCGGTGGGTGCGCCCGGGCACCACTGTGCGCCAGGCAGGGGATTAGGGTCCGGGCTGCAGGCCCCAAGGACTCCACATCGCCCCACCCTCAGAGCTCTGGGGGGGGTGGCCCATTCAGGCGCCACGACAAGCGGCCAGACATGCCCCCCCCCCAGGGAAGCAGATGGCTTCTTGGGGCAGGGCAGCCTCCCGGCCCCCGGGCTCAGGGTCCAGGGTGACAGTGACGCTCCCCGCGTGGGCACAGTGCCCAGTCCCCGCAATGGGCTCAGACACTCCTCGTCGGACACTGTCTTTAATGGGCGGCTCGGGCACTGGGCTGGGCAGCAGACTGGCCTGAAGGTCCCCGGGGGAGGACATGAGGGACCCCTGCTCCCAGCGTGTGGGGAACCGCCCGTCAGGACCTCCCGGGGCAGCTGGAGGGCGAGGGCAGCGCAGTGCAGGGCCGAGGCGCTGGGCACAGCCTCCCCCCGGGCTTGCCCCGCTTGGCCCTGCCCCTCCAGCCGAGGAGGGGCCTGGGGCTGGCTCTCGCAGGCGCCGGCGTCTCCCAGCCACAGTCCTTCTGGCTCCTCAGAAGCCCCCGCAGGGCTGGCCGGCGGTCCCCCTGCAGCCGGGACAGAGACGAGCAGCGGTCAGCAGCCCCAGCTCAGCCGCCTGGGGCCGCCTGGTGAGCGTGAGGGAGGCGGTGGCGGCAGGTCGGGGGTGTGTCGGGGGCTCACGTGGAGCAGCCCCACAGTGGGGTCCCCATAGGCGCGGCACGCTGGGTGGGCGGGAGCCGAAGGACAGAGCTGCAGCGCCTCCGCCCGGAGCCTCCAGGGCTGTGGGCTCACGGGGGGGGGGGGGGAAGGCTGGGGCCGCGTCCAGGGCAGCACCGCCCCCCGGTGGAGGCCGCTGCCCAGGCCACCCCCGGGAGGGCGCCGGTGCGCCAGCCACTTCCCAGGCCCCGGCGGCCTCTGTGGACGCCTGGGGCCCAGAAGACCAGGGTTGGGGGGGCTGAGGGGGACGCCCTCCCCGCCCCGGGGCTCACCGTGCTGGGCGGCTCGGCGCTGGGCAGCAGGGTCACCACCTGCAGGCTCACGCCCTCGTCGCCCACGCCCTTCAGCTGGGCCACCACCTCCGCGTGCTTCCACCACTTGCACGGCTGCCCGTTCACGGACACGATGTAGTCGCCCTCCCGCAGGCCAGCCGCCTGCAGGGACGTGGGGACAGTCGGGTCCCGAGTCCCAGGGGCACGGCCCCTGCCGTCTTCCCCTTCACGCAGCCGCCTCTGCTGGGCCCGGGGCGGGGCCTTACCGCAGCGTGGCCCCCGGGAACCACCGCAGCGATGAGCACCGGCGAGTCCCCCCGCAGCGTGAAGCCGAAGCCGCCCTCCCCTCGGGTCAAGTGGACGGGACCCACCAGCCGCCAGCGGTTCCTGACTGAGAACACGGACAGGGGCCCCTGGGGGGCGCCGCAGCTCAGGGCTGGGCTGGGTGGCCCTCCTGGGGGAGCCCGGCTGTGACACCCCCGCCCCCGCCTCTCCACCCTGGGCAGAGGCCCACGAGGAGCCGGGCGGGGCGGGTTGGCGCGTGGCCTTGTGGGGGCCTCACTGGAGCAGACAGAGTGGGACGCGGGCTCACCAGCCGGCGGAAGATGTCGGCCACCTTCACCCGGGAGAAGCTGGGGGCCCTGACCTCCAGCTTCCGCTGCGTCTTAGCTGGAGGGCAAAGGGGAGCGGAGGGCAGGACTGAGCCCCCGCTCACAGGCCCCCAGACCCTGGAACACCGCTGGATGCTGCTCGGCCACGGCGGAGTGGGTGCCGCTGGCCCCTCTTGGACATCCAGGGCCTGGCCACCCCCCACCCAACTTAGTGGGAGGGGCCCCACGGGCTCCCTGCCTGGGGGAATCCACCTCCCAGGCCACAGCTGCGCCGGGGACGAATCGGGTGCGGGGAGGGGGACACAGAGCAAGGGGGCTCATCCCCCAGCGCCCTGTCCCTGCGCAGGGGCACCGCTCTGGCTGTGGGAGGCGCCGGCATCAGCACCACAGCTCTGGGGGTCTCTGCCCTGCCCCCCGCACGTCCAGAACACACCCATCCCGGGGGCCTGGCTGCTCACGCAGGATGTCAGGGGCCTCGGTGGCCTCGAAGAAGTCGTCCTCGAGGTCCAGCTCCGAGTACTTGGCCAGCGAGCGCCGCAGCGCCTGGAGCAGCACGGCCTGCAGCAGGTCCACCCTGCGCAGGGCGCGGCACACGGCGTGCAGCCGCAGCGCCTCCTCCTGCCCCAGGATGGCGCGCTTCAGGTGGGCCTTGCCTGCGGGGGACACGCGGGCGCTGCTTCACACCGGCCCGCCCAGCCCTCCAGGCTGCGCCCCAGCGCCCGGCCGGGACGCGACGGGCGGAGGGCTGCTGACCGCCTCCGGGTTCGCCCCAAGAGCCAGACCGGGGGAGCTGCCGGGTGACCGGCTGGGCCAGGGACAAGCCCCCGTGTGTACCACCCCCGACCCCGCAGGGCCCTGCTCTGGGCGCCGCCCCCAGGCGGGGGGGGCGTCCAGGAGGTGGGCTGGCTCCCCCGCCCACCAGTGTTGAGACACCGGGCGTGCCCAGAAGGGGCGGCTTCTGAGTGACGGGGTGGGGTGGGCCGCTCAGTCCCCCCTCCCCCCGCCCCCGGCAGGGGGCCGTCTCACCGAGCTTCCTGCGCTCCTCACGCTCCTGGGGCAGGGCTGGGCGCTGGGGCTCGGATGCGGCCGGGGACCCGAGAAAGACCTGCTCCAGCGCCAGGAGCTCCGCCTCAGCCGCTGGGGGGCAGAGAGGGCTATGAGCCCCCCCGCGCCGGGCCTCTGCCGGCGCCCAGGCCCGGGCGGGGCACTCACGGGAGCCGTCGCAGAGGGCCGTGGCCGCGTGGTAGTGGGCCAGGGCGCGGAAGTGCTCCGCCTTCACGCACACCAGGGTGGTCCAGGCGAAGGGCACGTAGTCCTGCACGGGTGGCTGGGCCATGGTCCCGCGCACCAGCTCATACTCGGCCGCCACCTGCCAGTGACAGGGCAGGACCGAGGGGCCTCTGCAGGGGCTCCAGGGTGAGCCGGGCCCAGGGGCCTCCTCCCGGTCTCTTCCACCCTGGGGACTGGCCTCCCCTGCCCTGGCTGAGGTCCCCGCGGCCCTGCCCCTCAGCCCAGTGCCTGGCTCAAGGTCTGTGCCCCCAGCTCCCGACAGGTGCTGCCCCCGAGGCAGGGTCCCCCAGGGGCGAGGAGACTCCCCGGCTTTGGGAACCGACAGGAGACACGGCCTGGACACTGGCCCCTCAGCCCCAGCCCGGCGCCCGCAGCCGGCCCCGCGCCCAGTGAGCCGCCGCAGCCTGGCTTGGCCCAGACGGGAGGCCCCAGGATGCTGGGACGGGCCCCCCGGGACCGGGGCTCCCTGCCCTCACCTGGGCGGCCTCCTGAGCCAGGCGCAGCTGGGCTGAGCAGTCGTGGGGGGGCGGGGGGGCCGGCAGCGAGAGGCCCTCGAAGGCGCACTCCTGGGCCTGGGCAGCCATGAGCCGCTCCAGCGTGGAGAGTGAGGCGGGGCTCATGTCCGGGCTCGGCGCATGGGAGAACTTGCCCCTCAGGAGGCGGAAAGCGCCTGCAAGGATGGCACTCTCAGCGGCGGGGGGGGGGGGGGGGGGGGGGGGCTGCCCCGCACCCCTCGCGCTGGGGGCCGCCCCCCCCCACTAACTCTGGCCCCGGAGGACAGCGGGCGCCCTGTCTGGGGCCGAGGGTCCAGGGTCGGGCGCCTCACCAGCAGCCCTCTGGAAGGCCTCCGCCGCGCGGCTGGCGCCCTCGGGGCGGGCGCGGTCCTGGCGCGCCCCGATCTGGGTGTGGAGGGCCCCGATGTTGAAGAGCACGCTGCCCTTCTCGAAGGCCAGGGCCCGCTGCTGGGCCGGGACCCCCGTGAGCGAGTCGTACCTGCGGGGGCGGGTCAGGCTGGGTGGAGCTCCGCGGCCACAACTTGGAAGGCTCAGAGGCCGGGTGGGCCGGCGGGGAGGCCCCAGGGCGCGCGCTGAGCCCTACCAGTGGAAGAGCAGCCCCAGGCTCCGGGCGGGGGCGACGAAGCGCGCGTCCAGCAGGCAGAGCTGGCTGTAGTAGGCCATGAGCAGCTCCAGGCCGGCCTCGCTCCGGCTGGGGGTCCGCGTGGCCTGCGGGGCAGGAGCCGGCTGGGCCCGCCGTCCGGCCCGGCCCGCTGCCCGCACCCCCCGCCCCGGGAGCCTCCTTGGGCAGCGCGGCCCCGCGGGGGCAGCCAGGGCCACGCGGTGGCACACCTGCTCGGCCCGGGAGATGGCAAGGGCACGAGGGAGGGAGGCAGGGTCCCTGGGGAGGGGACAAGCACGGAGCACCCCGTCCCGAAGGGCTGCAGGGCCGGTGTGCACGCGAGCCCCCGCCGCCGCCCCGCTGTCCCTGGAGCTGCCCGAGGGTGGGGACTCCTACGCTGCAGCGTGAACGCCTACGCTGAGCCCCACCTCGCTGTCCCCTGGGAACTGGGCGTGGCCGGTCTCCCCGCGGGGCAGGGCCCACCCACCTGCCGCAGGTCCGCCAGCTCCCTGATTTCCGCCTCGTACGAGGCGCCATCCTCTCCAAAGTGCCCAGAGATCAGCTCCTGGTGCCGGGGGGAGCAAGCACTGGCCTCACCTGGAGGCTCCTGGCCCGACGTGGGGAAGAGCCACAGGGTGGGGGAGCCCTGTCCCCCGGAGAAGGGGTGTCCCCGGGGCGCCCCATCCCCGCAGATGCGGGCCCAGGACGGTGCTGTTCCTCTCGCATCCCCTGTGAGCCCCGCGGGCAGGCACCACGTGGCCCTGGGCAGGTGGGGACACCGAGGCTCCTCTGCACTGGGCCTGAGGGGGCCGTGGGAAGCCGGCCAAGGACGGCATGGCTCCCGAACCCCCGACGAGGATCCGGGGGACCGGTGGGTTCCCCCGACACAGGCTGGCTGCAGGGGGGCCCCCAGCCGGCGGGGTGCTCGGGGCGAGAGCCAGGGCCCATGGGCATCCCGGGGCTTCTGGCGGGATGACCGGCTCTGCTGTGCCCACCAAGGGGGCTCCCCTCCGAAGCCCACCCGGGCAGGACCCCAACAGCCTGGGAGGCTGGCGCCTGCGGGTCAGACCCTCCCTCCCTCGGGCCTCAGTTTCCTCTTCTGCTCAGGGGGTGGCTGGGCCAGGACACTCTCCAGGCCCCCCCGGCCCGCGGCTCACAGGCCAGCACGCGCTCACCATCAGGGCCGCCGACCAGTCCAGCTCTTGGGTCTCCTTCAGCCCCAGGGGGATCATGGGCACAGTGACTCCTTCGCTGGAAGCAGAAGCATCAGGTCCAGGCTCAGAGGCCATGGAGTCCACCCCCTGCCTTTCCTGCCACGCACAACGCGCCCCCAAGTTTCCTGGCAGCCCCACGCGTGTCGCACTGCCCCCCGCAGGCTCGGCCACGTGCTCGCGCCCGCACGCACCTCCGCGGCCCCTCGGCGTCCACGCTGCAGTTGAGCTCCTCCAGCTCCTCCTTCAGCAGCTGCAGGCTGGAGTTCACGTAGCTCAGCTCCAGGGCCACCGTCTCCCTGACCCGGGCGTTGCTGGTGGCCCTGGGGAGGCCAGGCTGCAGTGAGCAGCCGCCCTGAAGGTGGCCTCGCGCCCCGGCCGTGCAGCCCCGCCCAGCCTGAGCTCCAGCCCACTTCCCCGGGCAGGTGGGGTCCGACCCCCTGTGCCCGCATCTCGGTGCCCAGCAGGGGGCCGTGGGGTCCTAGGAAGCCGGACTTAGGGCAGGGATGCGGTGGACAGAGGCCAGGCTGCTGAGGAAAAGGAGGGGTCCCTTGGACCACACCCTGGAGCCGCCACGGTCGGGCCACCACCCACAGGGCAGGCGCACAGAGGTCCGAGCAAGTGCGCAGCTCTTGTGCTCAAAGGGGGAGAGGCCTTGCCCAGGTCCCCAACCCTGGGACACTGGTCTGCTGCCAGAGCCCAGCCTGAACCGTACCCCTTCTGAGAAGGCCCCCGGTCACCGCAGGCATCTCAGGGGCTCCCACATTGCACACCAGCAGGAAGACCCCTCCAGGTCCGCTCCAGCCCAGCAAGGAACTCGGCTGGCCCCGAGCTGACCCCTGCCAGTGGCCCACCAAGGGGGGGCCCAGGTTGGTGGCGAAGGCCTCGGCTGAGCAGCGTGGCCGCCCCAGACCCTGGTGGGGGCCAGCCCAGGTTCCCGGGAGCCTGCACTGGCATGGCCACCTGCTCAGGCGTCCCTGTCCCTGACCCGCCCACGGGGCAGGTGCTGCCTTCATCACCCAGTGTGGGCCTGGCTCCAGGGGACCCCCGGGACGGCGGCACCGCTCTCTGGGGGTCCCAGGTCGCTGGCACTCACCTGTAGAGGTTCTCCGCGCCTGTCCGCATCCGGAGCTCCCTGCTGATCTGCTGGTGGATGCGGGCCCTGCGGCTCTGCAGGCGGCCGCGCTGCGTCTGTGTGACCTGTGGAGAGGCTGCGGTCACAGGCCGGCCGCGCTGTCAGCGGCTCACAACTCACAGCGGCCGAGTCTGGGCCGGACATCTCTTGCCCGTGGGGAAGGGGGTGGGCGAGCGAGGAGCCTGGGCTCGGAGGGCAGCCCCAGGAAGGAGGGCAGTGGGCGGGAGCGTGGCGGGGCTCTGGGTCTCGGCCCAGCCTGGACACCCAGTCGGTCCGGGAGCCCCGGGCAGGCGGCGGCCAGTGGCTCCGCACATCCCTCTGCCCTTCGGGATTTCGTTCCGGAGCCGCTGCCGCCCACCTTGCCCGCGCAGCGCCCTAGCGTGCATGGGAGGGCGCGGGGGTGGCAGCCCGGGCTGCCCGTGTGGGAGGCTGGCTCTCAGGCCGCCCGTCGTGTGGCGCTGGGCCTGCGCTGACCCTGTTGCTGGGCTTGGTCCCAGCTGCCAGCTGACTCGTGGGGACCGTGTGGCAAACGTCTGACCGCAGGCCCAGGGCCGCCCGGCTCACAGGCAGCAGGCCAGGCTCCTGGCTGCCCCCTGCCTGCCTCGGCGGCCCCTCGCTGCACACGGGCAGCTGTGCCAGGCCGCCCACCCGTGAGCTGGGCCCAGGCGAAGGCCTCCAGGCGGCTTGACGCTGTGCCGCGCGGCTCCTCACTGCGGGGGTGCCGCGCAGGGGGGCCGCTGCAGCAGGTGGTGGGCCAGGGGTGTGGAACCCCAAAAGGTTTTCAGAGCCTCCGTGGGGCCCGCTGGTGACAGCCGCGGCCACCGCGCCTCCTCCTGGCCTTTTATGGACCTCCTCTTGTGGTCAGCCACGAGTCCGGGAAATAGGAAGGATTTCTCAGAATCACCTTCCCTGGTCAACATCCACCTGGGCGTCTACTTGAGCCCCGACAGGGCAGAGCAGGGATGAGGGCATAGTGTCTCCCAGGACGCCCCCCAACAGCACAGCCCAGAGCGAGGTCTTGTCCACACTGCACCGCCCTGGGGCTCCCCGCAGCTGCTGTCTTCCCCGTTGCTGAGGTCTGTTGCTCGGTTTCCTTGGTGCGCCCCCCAGTGGCATGCACAGGCAGTTTCAGCCCCCGAGGGCTCTCGCTTGCCCCAGCACTTGAAGGGGGCTCCCTAAAAATGGCTGCACACCCGCCCACCGAGGAGGCTGCTGCTGCTGGCACACACCCTTGGTTTACGGCCCAACGTGTCTAGACTCCAGGGTTCTCAACAGAGGTCAATCAGGGCAGACTTCTCGGAGAAGGAGGTGCTCTTCTGGGACCTGATGGTCATGGGTTGCCAGTGGTCCTGAGATGACTGCAGGGAGGGGACGCAAGCCTCCAGCGAGCGCTCAGCGTCCTGGGTGAGCGGCCACGGCCGTCGCCCGGGCCGGGGCGTCCTGTGCTGGGTAGAGGCTGCGGGCTCAGCACACTGTCCTGGCCAACGCGGTTCCTGTGGTCTCTGGCGCCGCGTGCTCCTGGAGCGACGTGTTGGGGGTGGGAGAAGCTCAGGCACGCGGCCTCAACCCGCCCGCTCCGGCTGGGCCAGGCCGGCTGTGGCGGCCTGGGCGCGGCGGTGTCAGCGCGTGCCCTGCGCGCTCCCGAAGCCCGGGTGCAGCCGGATGGGCCGGAAGCCCAGCTCACACTTGTCCGCCCCGAGCGAGCGGTCCCTGTGGCGAAGGGATCCACCAGCAGGGCGGGCGCAGGGGCCAGGCCACCCGCATGCACCCCGCCCGGAAACCCGGCTCGGAGGGGAAGGGGTGGGGAACAGAGGAGCAACCCCCGCCCCTCATGGCTGACGCCCTGACAGGCCTGGCGGCTCTGGCTGCCCGGACGCCTGAGGCCATGGTCCCCAGAGGCCCAGGAGGAAATGGTGTGGGCGGCGGCCAGATGGGACACGCTGGGGGACGGTCATGCCAGCACAGGCCAGGAGCAAACAGCAGGCGCCCCACGCCCTCCCCAGGGTACCCCCGCCTCCACCTGTTCCCAAGGAGGGTCCCCGCCTGGCAGACGGGCTTCCCCCTCTCGGAGCCCTTGCTCTGCCTGCCGACGCCCTCCCATCCCCGGAACCCCGTCCCTTCCCTGCACTGCTCACAGGAGAACTGGACGCACCAGGAGGGGGGCCCCAGCAGCCCCCACCCTCCACCTCTGCCACCCTCCCAACGCTGAGGGACACGGAGCCCCGTGGGCACTGCTGCTGGGACGTGGTGGCTGAACCTCGCCCAGACTAGATGGGCCACAGACCCGGCCCCTCATGCCAGCCGAGCGGCCCCCTGCCGCGCCCTCGCCCAGGGCCACTGGGGCACAGGTGGCTCTCAGACGCCCCCAGGTGCCCCGCTCCCAGGCCCTGTCTCACTGGTCGGGCCGGGCTGCCCTTCGGTGGGCACCCACGTGGTGCTGGTGAGCCCGCGCTGGCCACCCGGCCGGCGGTGCCCACTGGCCACCTGCTCTCAGCACTTTGGGGGCAGAGACGCCACCCACGCTGGCCCACAGGGGCCTGCTCTGGATGTAGCTTTCACGGGAGTGGCTAGCCCGCCCGTCCTGACTCTGCATGTGACACCCAGTCTAGGGAGCAGCCTCTCCCCAGCCCGGCGGCAGGGATCAGTTAGACCTCCCAGGTGGCAAGAGCCGCCGGGTGACATAACAGAGGAGGGCGCAAGGGTGTGCTGGGCGCCACACAGGGCCAGCGGGGCCGCGGTCCACACCCCACTGGCCGGCTCCCAGCCAGGGGCCCCTGCGGGGACACAAGTCAGGACGCGCCGACCGCGGCGCCATCCCAGAGGAAAGGCTGGACCCAGTGTCTGCCGCCTTCCCAGGAGGCCCTTGGGCAGAGAGCGGAAGTGTTGTCCCCTGAGCCCCCCGGACATCTTGGGCGAGCAGCCTCCCCAACATGCTGCCCAGAACAGCGCTCATTCTCTCCCAAGGCCACCGGGCGGCCGGCCTGCCCGCACAGAAGTGAGCGCACAAAGGGCAGGGGACGGGCCTCCTCTTTCTCCAGGACCCACGCTGGGGACCACGGACCGGCGCCCTCCCTCGACATAGATGCCGCAGCACCGGGCATCTCTTGGGGGTGAGGTGGGAGGAGCCGGCCCCTCCGGGGGTCTGGTCTGCATCGCATGGCCAGGAACCGGGAGCCCGTGTCCCACCTGATGCCCACCCCCTCCCTGGGAGGCCCAGGCCCCAGGCACACAAAGGCTGCACAGAGCAGCTGGGGTCCACGTGCAGCCTGACCAGGGAAGGGGGAAGGGGGGCAAGGCATCGTCCGGGTGCCGGTGCCACCTCTGTTTGGTGGCACCAGGCTGAATGGCCTTGAGGCATGGAAACCCAATGCTTGCAATGGACACCAGGGCAGCCTCGAGGTGGCCCCCAGGGGACACTCAGCCTCTGGGCGGCAGAGCGAGTCAGCCAGGGCGCCCCCTCTTCCCCAGGCACAGGCTCCGCCCGTCTCCGCCTCCGCCCCGGGCCTTCCAGAGCTTCCCAGTACTCCTGGAAACGGTCCACAGTCCACAGTCGGTGCCCCCGGGCTCGGGACCTCACAAGGGGGCGGATGTGTGTGTGTGTGGGGGGGGTGCGGTGATGAAAGGACAAACTCCCCAGCTGTGAAGTCCTCCAGCTATTTCCTGTATCTGGGAGGCTTCAGCCGCCTGCAGCTCAAAGTTTCATCAGATACAGAGCTGGGTGCCCAGGGCAAAGCGAGACTGCCCGGGGGAGAGGCAGGTTTTAGGAAAAGTGGAATGACTGCCCAAGAACGCACCCTAGGGCCCCGGCTGTCACAGACCGGAGCCCAACACCTGCCAGACAGGGGAGCCCAGAGCGCCGGGAAAACAGTGAGCTGAACTGCGCTCCCCTCATTCCTGAGCCGCACAGGGGCCTCCTGCCTCTTCCCCGCACGTGACCCCGAACAGGCAAGACAGGAGCCAGCGCAGGCAGGCATCGCGGGTTCCGGACTTCCACCGGCCCGGCCTCAGTTTCCCCAGCGGCACGCCTCGCTGGCCCTCTTGGGGCGGGCGAGGTGTGGGAGACGGCCGCCTGCGAGTCTTGCTTTGCGCTCGGACGGGAGAAGTACCGCCGGATCCGCAGCCCCGTGCGTGCTCGCGGGCTCTGGGCGCCCTTCTGCCGGCGTCCCCCAGCCCCGCGGGCGCGCCCACCTTGCAGACGCTGCCGGCCGCCTGCAGCCGGGTGCTATCCTCGCTGGCGCTCGGGCCGTCTTGCCTCTCCTCGGGGATCATCGCAGCCCACCGCTCGGGCCGCGCCCGCCTGAAAGCCGAGACCCGCGCAGGTCCCTCCCGGGCGCCGCGCCGGGTCCTGAACTGTCCTCTGGTCCCGGGTGGCCGGCCCGACAGGAGGGAGGGGCGTGGCGCCCCGAGCCGAGCGTGCGAAACTTTCCGTTGCCCAGTCGGCCACAGCGGTGGCTCCGACGGACAGCAGCCTCGGCCAACCAGGGAGCGGGGGCGGGGGCTCCGGGCTTCCAGGGCCCGCCCACCCGCCCGAGGAGTCCTAGGGGAATGTGGTCGCCCCTGGCAACCGCCGGGCCCGACGCCGAGCGGCCGGCGCGGGCCGCGCGCTGCGCATGCGCGGGCGGCCGCTTCGTGTGCGGCAAGGTTAGGGGAAAAGGAAAAAAATAACGCGAAACGCGAAACTCGGGAAACTCGCGAACTGTGCCAGTTCCGACCGCTTCGGCGCGCCGCGCGGCTCCCGTGCAGGCTCCACGGTTACCGCTGCGCAGTTCTATCCCGTCCCAGGCAACAGGGACCTTACAAGGGGCTCGTCCAAAAATATTCACGGTGGGGGGTTTTAACGGTTTTGAAGGAGCCAGCGCCGGGCGAGTGCTTAAACAAAGCCCGCTTTCTTACTCCGCTGCGGCCGCAGGCTCCGGCCCGGCCCCTCGGGTGGGTGCCGTCGGCGCGGCCCCTCGTCCTGCGCCCAGAACCAGTCCCCGGAACCTGCTTCCAGAACCTTTTTCTGTCCACAACCTACTTGAGAACCGACTGCGGAACCGGCCTGCTTCCAGAATTATGCTCTTTCCGGAACCTGCGCTCCAAGCAGGGTTGCCCCGGCACCGTGCCGCCACCAGGTCCTCTCCTAACCTCTCTGTGTGGCTGGGACCCACTCAGATGTCCCGTGGGCTCACCTCCCCCAAGAACACACACCCTTTGTGGAGACAGGACGCCGGAGCAGAAGCAGGCGCTAATCTTTTATCAGGTTCCTCTGAAGTTCCAGCCCGGCTCTTTCTACCGCCGCCCTCCCACCGCGCCACCCGGGCCTCTGCGGGAGCGGGGCCGGCTCTCGGGCCTCGCGCACACCTGATTCTCCTCAGAGCTCAGAGTGTAAGCCACGCTCCTGGGCTCGCCGGGCCGCAACAAAACAGGCCGGGTGTTAACTCCTGGGCACAGGCACGGTGGGCAGGAAGTAAAAAGTGATCCCAGAATGTTCCCGGCCGCAGCGCAATGACAACCTGCGCCAACCAGCAGGAGGGGAGGGGCGAGGGGGCAGGAGACGGTGGGAGATGATGAACCTCCATCCTCCTAAGGCTAAGTCCACAGAGGAGGCCTAGATTAGAAAGTCAAGTTCCAGAAGCTGAAGCTTGCCCAGAATTGTGGCGTTCAGTGCTAAGTCATCAGCGGAAGGAGTCCCTGAAGCGGCCGCCTCCAGGGAGGGCTGCGGAGCCCGGGGGAGGCCGCCGTTTCGCTAGGCAGTTCTTAGGAAACTATGTCCCCTCCTCAGCAGAGCCAGGAGCTTGTTTTGTTTTTTTTTAAAGAGATGTCTAGAAATGGACCACAAAAAACATCCAAAATAAAACATAACCATTTGGAAGGGAAAAGAAATTTCTAAATAACGTTTGAATTAAACAAAAATTAAAACAGCAAATTACCTAAAAAGTAACTATAAAGTAAATGTTATATAACTTTACTATATAGGTAGCTATATAACATCATGTAACATGTAAATAACAATATACATGAAGACCAGGTGACATTGATATATATAAGATAACAATAATACATAAATTATAAATAATACATAAATAACATTATAAGAGGTTTGTCCAGAAAGCATACAGCCATGTACTCTGAAAGACATTTATTGAACAAGATACAAGAAACATTGTGCATAGGAAAATGACACCTCAATCCCCTTCAGAGTAGGCACCTTGGGACCTCACACCGTTCTCCCAGTCGCCATCAGCTGCCCCGTTGTATTTTCCTGAATCTCATTGCCAGTCTGAAATCTCTTCCCTTTCAAAGATGATTTTAGTCTTGGGAAAAGCCAGAAGTCGCAGGGCGCCAAATCTGGGCTGTAGGGGGGCTGAGTCACCTGGGTGATTTGAGGTTTCGCCAAAAAACTCTGCACGAGACGTGATGCTTGAGTGTGAACGTTGTTGTGATGAAGCTCGAATGGGCAGCTGCCCACGGCTGCGGCCTCTGAGTCATCCTAATAGTTTCCATGGAGGAAGGTTCAAGTTTAACACAAAGTTTGATGCAGATTCATTGCTCTACCTGCTCAGTCACTTTGAATGGGACGGCCACACAGTGCACATGCTCACTCAGCAGTGTCTCCCGCCCCCACGGACTAGGACAGTGAAGTCATCATAGTTCACACATGCGCATTCCAGTCTCCTCGCCTTGGCTGCCAGGTGACATTGATGTCGTGAAAACCATTCTTGTTATATTAACAATGGCTGGACTTTTCCCAACAGACCTCATATACGTATGGAATAAACCCAAAGAAATTCTGTAAACTCAGGTGAGTTTCTTGCAAAAAAAAATATATACATAAAATCAATTAACCAAATGAAAACAAAGCCACAGAAGGAAGTTACTAAGGATTAAGAGCCAACATCAGTCAGGTAGCAAAGAAAGGTGAGTGTCTGGGGAAAAAACAGGGTTGGCAAGCCCCTGAGACGCTCCGTAGGGACACTGGGACCCTCGCCGCCCACATCTGGCTGGAACGCAGCCGCGTGGCTCCTTCTGGGGCGGGGGCTGGGCCGTGGCCCCGAGGGCGGCCACGCCTGGGTTGCAGTGTGGCCTCCGCCTCCCGGGGAGGCCGGTTACGCCGCCTCTGAGTTCTGCGTTCCAGGGAGGAAGGGAGTAAAGCAGAAGGCCTCCAGCAGCCGTCAGCACTGGGACACACGGCCGCGGGTGGCTGCAGGGGGCGGGGCCTGTTGTCCCAGCTGGCACGTGGCTGTGCCCGCCACAGCTGGGGCTCTGTCCGTCGGGGGAAGGAGGGTGGGCTTGCATGGGTGGCGAGCAGGGGCTGCGCCAGAGCAAACACACAAACCCACCGTGGCCGAGCAAGAGCCGAGTCCGGGCAAGAGCCGAGTCCGGGCGACGGCGCCCCCGGTGCGAGCGCCTGTGGGAGGGGACGGAAGACCGGGAGGGAAGGTAGGGACCCACGCCGGGGTCCACGGCAGCCCGAGGAGAGGGCGCGGCCGGGGTAGACTGCGGAGGGTGCCTGACCTCGGCGGTCCCCAGAGGCTCCGGACCTGTAGGCACCAGCGTGCCCCGGGCTGGTCCGGCAGCTCCAGCCCCTGCTGGGTGGCACGGCTCGCCGGGCTAAATGCCCGCATCAAACAGAGAGAGGCCACACTCTCTCTGCTGGGGATCTGTTGCTCCCACCCCCGGAAGCTGGCAGCCCTGCTGGGGGCTCGGCCCTGCCCACTCGCTCTGCCCTGTAGCCCTTGAGGCTGTGTGTTCTGGGGGAGGCCGGCCGGCCCGGCTGCGGGAGAGGTAGGCCAGCAGCGATAACCAAGGGCCTTGGAGCCACGTGGGCGCCGCTGCGCGGTGGGAAGTGCCCTGTGATGCCCGGCGTGCCTGCACAGCCACGGCCCGGCCTCGAGCGCCTGTAGGGCACAGAGACGGACAGCAGTTGCCTTGGCCTCCGTCCCTTTGCCCGCGACCCATCTGCACCCAGGGCTGAGGGCGCAGTTTTGGCCAGTTGGGCAAGAAGGGTGTCTTCAGGGGGCTCCCGGGAGAGTCCCGCGGGGAAGACCGTGTCTCCCCTGCCCCCGGACGCTGTCGTGACTGGGCGGGACACCAAGACCTGCCCTGACGTCCTGCCTGTGACCTGCTGGGGACACCGCCGATACGCTGGGCGTGGCAGAGGGCCCTGCCCCTCTCCTGACTCCCATTTGGTGAGAGAGCAAATCTCCTTCTCGGCTCAGACACTCAGAGTTGGGCTTTCTGATACGTGAAGCCCGAAGTGTCCCCTGTGAAGACGCCGGGGAAGGCCGACCTGGCGAGGCCGCCTTTGCAAGGCACCGGTCGGGCAGCGGCAGGGCTGGTGGCCCACAGGCCGCCCGTGGTGGCCGGGGCTGGAGCCCTTCAGGAAAGCCCCTTGAAGAAGCTACTAACCTCAGCTTCGACGGGACTGCATCTAGAAATCAAGCCTTCTCAACTAAAATTGTCAGAATTAATATTAAAAAAACAAAGTAAAAACCTGTATAAACACCCATGTTCCTGGAGGTTTGGACAATTTGTAATGGTCTTTCCAAGCTTTGGGATATAATGAGGTTATTTTAGAATTAGAGTTTCGTGCAATGGTCTAAAAGGAAGCCCACGGGGCGGTAAGGGAACAAAACGCATTGCAGACAACACGTATGTGGGAGCCGCCGTGCTGGCACCTGAAAAAGGCAGACATGGACGGAAACGGCGAGCCCACTGTTGGCGTCACTGCCGCGGCCCGGGCCGCGGGGATCCGCTCTGCCCCTACGGCAGCCCGGCCTCCTCCGGCGGTCCTCCTGCACTGCTGCGCTGCTGGGGCAAACGTGCACCACTGCGCCCGTGCGGTAAAAAAAGGGAAAATGGGAGACTGGCGGCGGAGGAGGATGTGGGAGCGAAAGGCAGGCGGGTGGGGCAGCAGCAGCCGCGCGATCCTGCACGCAGGAGGCGGGAGGGGGGAGGGGGAGGGGCCGCCCCACTCGCTGCGGGTCCACACGTTGCCGGTACAGCCCACTGGCGTCTCCGTGCGAACGTACACGCCCAGGTTCTTGGGGGGGGGGCGGGTGGAGGGGAAACTCGGGCTCCGCTCTGAGTGCCTGCGAGTCCCAGGTGAGGACCTGGCTGTCCCCACACTCGCTCATGTGCCCAAGGCCCAGCGGCCAGGCAGCGGCGACCCCGGGCAGGACCTCGCAGCCGGCCCATCTCCCAGTGGGGACCGACCGCAGGGTTGCCACAGGTGAACCAAAAATGCCACCAGAAGGAGGGCGTCTGGACAGGAGAACATGGAGAAA